AGTGAGGGGGAGGGTGGGCGATGTGTACAGTCAGGGGGGCAGTGTGTCCAGTGAGGGGGAGGGTGGGCGATGTGTACAGTCAGGGGGGCAGTGTGTACAGTGAGGGGGAGGGTGGGCGATGTGTACAGTGGGAGGGGTGTATACAGTGAGGCGGTGGGGGGTGCGGTGTGGACAGTGAGTTGGGGGTGTGTACAGTGAGGGGTTGGGCGGGCGATGGGTACAGTGTGGGGGTGGGGGCGGTGTGTACAGTGAAGGTGGTGCGGTGTGTACAGTGATGGCTGTGTACAGTGTTGGTGGCTGTGTACAGTGAGGGGGGTTGTGTACACTGAGGGGGAGGTGGGGTGGTGTGTACAGTGAGCATGGCGGGGGACGATGTGTACAGTGAGAGGGAGGGGGCGGTGTGTAAAATGAGGGGGAGAGGGAGGCATGTGTACAGTGGGGGGGGGGTGTGTACAGTGAGGGGGTGGTGTGTACAGTGATGGGGAGGGGGTGCAGTGTGTTCATTGAGGGGTGGGGGGGGCAGCGTGTACAGTGAGGGGGGTGTGTACCGTGAGGGGGAGGAGGGAGCGTGGCAGTGTGTACAGTGAGGGTCGGGGGCGGGATGTAGTGTATTTGCTGTCAGGATAGTATATATACTGATAGGGAAGGAGAGGTTGGTACATGTACACAGTGGTTAGCACAATATCCTCACAGGTCTTGGTATCTAGGTTTGATTCCATGGTGACTGCCTTTGTGGAGTTAGCATGTTCTCCCCATGACTGCATGGATTTCCAGTGGGTGCTCCAGTTTCCTTCCACTGCCCAAAGTTGTGCAGGTTTGGTAGATTGGCTATGCTAAACAAAATACCCTATAGTGTCCAGGGTGTGCATGTTAGGTGTGTTAGCCATAGTTTAAAAAAAATCCATGCAGCGTTATAGGGTGGAATGGGATGTACAGATGGGAGTGAGTTGTATCATCTTTGGAGTGTCAGCACAGATTTGATTAGCTGAATGGCCTGTTTCTGCTCTATAGTGATTCTATGATTTTCTGAAAGGATTTGAAATACATATACAGGGGTGTGGTAAATAAATAGAAAGAGTAAGTGGGTGTGGTAAAAATAGAAAGGGAAAGTTTCCATCAAAACCAATGTTACTACTGAGGGGTTGTCTGCTGTAAAATTTAAATCAATTCTATCACTAATTCTAAACTCTCTTTAGATGATGACCATGGCTCAGTATCAGCACAAGTTTTGAACTCGAATCTCACTCCCAAGAGCCCTGAGCACACAATCTGGCTAACACACTACATCGGAACAGGATTGTGCCATTCAGCTTTTCCTATTGTGTGTTGCTTAGACTTGCTAACTGAACTCCAAGTGGGGTCTAACCAGGGTTTTGTATAACATCAGAGAGTCAAATACCAAGAAACAGATCTTTTGGTCTAACTTCCCAAACTAAAGTAGTCCCATTTGCCTGCATTTGGCCCATATCCCTCTAAACCCCTATTCAAATTCCTGTCCAAATGTCTTTTAAATGTTGTAACTGTACCCACATCAGCCACTTCCTCTGGCAGGTCAATCCATTAGCCTTCTTGATTTTTTTCTGCACCTGTTTGTGATATTTTAAAGGTTTGTGCACCTGAACTCAAAAGTCACTTTGGACATTCAATATATTGAACTTCATGGTATCTAGAAAGTGCCCTGATCTATCTTTTTTTTAGCACAACATAAATAACCTTATAAGTAACCTGAGGAAGAGTCATCGGACCCGAAACATTAACTCTGTTTTTTCCTTCACAGATGCCGCCAGACCTGCTGGGCTTTTCCAGCAACTTTGTTTTTGTTCCTGGTTTACAACATCCGCAGTTCTTTCGTTTTTTATAAATAACCTTACATTTACTTTGAACTTCATCTGCCACAGTTTTGCCCATTCACCTAGTCTATCAACATCCCTTTGTAATGTTATGCTGTTATCTATTCTGTCAACAATGCCACCTAACATTGTGTCATCAGCAATTTTTGCCCTGTGACTTTCTATGCCATTATCCAAGTTGTTAATAAATAATGTGAATATTTGAAGCCCTAACACACTGGTCACATCCTGCTCACTGAGGCCTCCTCTCCCCTCTCAAAAGTGTAAAGGCATTAATTTTGAAGAACAGTGTAGTGATTGTAACGAGGTCAGTCAGCTGGACCTCATAAATATGTGTTACCTGATTGGGGCTGTTAATCTGGTCCAGTCAGGGAGATCTGGCTGACATAAAAGGGTGAATGTTGGTGATATTGAGATACTGACTGCCTGACACAAGTGACAGGCAGTCCTATGTTAAAACAGTAATGGATTTTTTTTTTTACCCCCACTGTCTGCCAAAATATTTGTTTCTCAGCCAACATTACCTTAAAACTAAATAGATTAGAGTTGGTTGTGGGATCTTGGTATAAGCAAATTGCCAATATTTGTGTACATTACAAAGTGACTGCATTTGAAAATTGTTTGTTTGGCTTCAAAGACCTTTGGCGATGCCCTAATTTTATTGAATGGATATATAAATGACAGTTTTATTCAGTTTCTCTTCAATCTTAAATGCTAACTCTCACTATGTCAGTAGTGTATCAAGGTTTTAAATGGTTCTTTGTAACATTTCCCTTTCCAAATTTTTGCAGTTCAGTTAGGCATTGGAATGAAAACATTTACTCAGTGGTAATGTAGAGAGAGAATATCAATTAAACCTCTTAACCTAAATCATTCTGCCTGTCCACTGCCTACCTTAACACCCATCTTTGTTGATCAGCCCTCTTAATTTCTTTGCCTTGACATCTTTATAAAATCTATCCACCTCTCAAGTAATTTAGGCCCCCCAATAGTCAGCGGGAAATTGAGAAACAAATTTGTAGGGTGGTTATGGTAGGAAATTTAACTTTCCAAACATAGTCTGGGACTGCCATAGGGTTAAAGGCTTGGATGGAGAGGAATTTGTTAAGTGTGTGTAAGAAAATTTTCTGATTCAGTATGTGGATTTACGGACTAGAGAAAGTGCAAAACATGATCTACTCTTGGGAAATAAGGCAGGGCAGGTGACTGAGGTGTCGGAGAGGAGTGGGGGGAGCACTTTGGGGCCAGTAAACCTTAATTCTATTAGTTTAAAATAGTGATGGAAAAGGATAGACTGTATCTAAAATTTAAAGTTCTAAATTGGAGGAAGGTCAGTATTAGGGAAGAACTTTCAAAAGTTGATTGGGAGCGGATGTTTGCAGGTAACAGGATGGCTGGAAAATGGGAAGCCTTCAAAATGAGGTAACGAGAATCCAGAGATAGTATGTTCCTGTTAAGGTGAAGGGCAATGTCGGTATAGGGAATGCTGGATGACTACAGAAATTGAGATTTTGGTCAAGAAAAAGAAGGAAACATATGTCAGGTATAGACAGCAGAGATCAAGGGAATCCTTATAGGAGTATAAAGGCAGGAGGAGTATACTTAAGAGGGAAATCAGGACGGCAAAAAGGGGACGTGAAATAGCTTTGGCAAATAGGGTGAAGGAGAATCCAAAGGGATTCTACAAATACATTAAGGACAAAAGGGTAACTAGGGAGAGAATAGGCCCCTTAAAGATCAGCAAGGCTGCCTATATGTGAAACCGCAGGAGATGTGAGAGATACAAAATGAGTATTTTGCATCAGTGTTTACTGTGGAGAAGGATATGGAAGGTAGAGATGGTGGGGAAATAAATAGTGACATCTTGAAAAATGTTCATATAATAGAGGAGGTGGTGCTGGACGTCTTAAAATGCATAAAGGTGGTTAAATCCCCAGGATCTGATCAGGTGTACCCTAGAACTCTGTGGGAAGCTAGGGAAGTGATTGCTGGGCCCCTTGCTGAGATATTTGCATCAACGTTAACCATAGGTGAGGTGTCGGAAGACCCGAGGTTGGCTAACATGGCACGAGCATTTAAGAAAAATGGTAAGGATGATAGACTACAGGATGATGACTATAGACCGGTGAGCCTAACATCGGTGATGGGCAGGTTGTTGGAGGGAATCCTGAGGAACAGGATTTACATGTATTCGGAAAGGCAAGGACTGAAGAAGGATAGTCAACATCGCTTTGTGCATGGGAAATCATGTCTCACTAACTTGAGTTTTTTGAAGAAGTTACAAAGAGGATTGATGAGCACAGGCTGGTGGTTGTGTTCACCAAGTTCTTAATGGTAGACTGGTTAACAAGGTTAGAGCACATGGAATTCAGGGAGAACTATCCATTTGGATACAGAACTGGCTTGAAGCAAGGAGACAGGGTTGTGATGGAGGGTTGTTTTTCATATTGGAGGCCTGTGACCATCCGTGTGCCACAAGCATTGGTGCTGGGTCCAATGCTTTTCGTTATATAAATAATTTGGATGTGAACATGGGAGGTATGGTTAGTAAGTTTGCAAATGACACCAAAATTGGTGGTGTAGTGGACAGCGAAGAAGGTTACCTCAGAATATAACGGGATCTTGATCAGATGCACCAACAGGCCGAGGAGTGGCAGACGGAGTTTAACTTAGATAAATGTGAGGTGCTGAATTTGGATAGGCAAATTAGGGCAGGTCATATACACTTAATGGTAAGGTCCTGGGGAGTGTTGCTGAACAAAGAGGCCTTGGAGTGCAGGTTCATGGTTCCTCAGGAGGTCATGTTGCGGTTGTACATGACATTGGTCAGGCTACTTTTGGAATGCTGTGTTCAATTCTGGTTTCCCTGCCATAAGAAGGATATTGTGAAACCTGAAAGGGCTTCAGAAAAGATTTACAAGCATGTTGCCAGGGTCGGAGGGCTTGAGCTACAAGGAGAGGCTGAATAGGCTGGGGCTATTTTCCCTGGAGCGTCAGATGCTGAGGGGTGACCTTATAGAAGTTTATAAAATCATGAGGGGCATGGATAGGGTAAATGGACACGTTCTTTTCCCTGGGATGGGGGAGTCCAAAACTAAAGGGCATAGGTTTAAGGTCAGAAGGGACCTAAGGGGCAGCTTTTTCACACAGAGGGTGGTGCATGTATGGAATGAGCTACCAGAGGAAGTGATGGAGGCTGGTATAATTAAAATATTTAAAAGGCATCTAGATGGGTATATGAATAGGGCGGGGTTAGAAGGATATGGGCCAAATGCTGGCAAATGGACTGGATTTATTTAGGATATCTGGTTGGCATGACAAGTCGGACTGAAGGGTCTATTTATGCGCTGTATATCTCTACGACTATAATTCAAAATGTACAAGGTTGAAACATATCAATATTTTGTTTTCTTGAATGTGAATGTGTGTTGTTTCTAGCAAGTGTAAATGAGCCACATTGAGCTTGACTGATTTCTTAAATTGAATGTTAGTGTACCTTTTAACATATGTCACATGGATTGAATCAATTTGGCTGAAGACAGGCATCTGTGATGCTTGGATCTCTATTGGGAGGCTTTTAGTGATTAGTTTATTCATACTTCAGATTCCTTTGTTCCTCTACCTCACTTAGATGCACAGTTTCCTAGAAATAATTGGCCTCCCTATTTTCATAGCAAACTTTTAGTGTCCTCCTGTAATTTGTTGCAGTCATCCTCACTGCTGACTATCCCTCCAGTTTGGTGTCATTTGTAAAGTTAGAAGTATATTTTTTTGATCCAAAATTCAAATCATCAATGTCAGTTGCAAACAACAGTGGTCCCAAAAGTAATCATTGTGGAACAACATTTCTCACCTTTTTTTCCACCCTGAATCATCTTCAGTTTTCTAACTGAAGGCAGAGCAGCATGAACCTAGAGCAGCATGATCTTTGCCACAGATTGGACAGGTCATGAATCCAGTGCTACACTGTTAGCACCAATCTGATCCACACTGGCCACATACAGAGCCAATCAGATCCAGGACTACTTTGAATCTGCTAGGTTTATGAAGGTAATGTGAATGCCAAAACTTGAATTTCAGATGACTTTCCAATGAATGCTAGACATATGCAACACCTTTTCCACAGAAAATGTTTTTTTTTTGTGCAGTGAACTTTGGGAAATTGTGCCGTTTAAAGCAGTTCTTGAATATGTTATTCTGTCAGCCAGTTGTGGTAATGCAATTTGTTTTTAGTTTTAAGTTGGCCAGTTTTCACTGAACTAATTGTATCCATAATGTTCTTTTAATCACTACAACATAGCCACTCTTATTTGTTTCATTCTACTACAGAATTGGTCTTCCACATTTATTTTTGAGTTAGAACCTTAAAGAATAATGAGCTTTAACTGTGCAGGTGATATGCCTTCCACAATTCATTTTTCTTTAACAGTATTATTACTGCTGCAGACAGCTTCTCTTTACTTTGTTACTTATCATTCCGTCTGGTACCAGAAATCTTCTGAACTGTTGGAGGGACATAGAAAAATACCTAAAATTCATACTTTCCTACCTGTAATGGACCAGACGAACACCGCCCGCATCCCCCTCCCCCCCCAATAAATTAAGAAGACGGTCTAGATCCTAACATTTTCTTATTTTAAAGGTGAGTGTAAGGTGAACATTCCTGATGCAATTCAATTGAACAAGCTAATCAACTTTAAGCAAAACACACTTTATTTTCACTGTAGTGTAAAAATACAGAGAAATAAAATTAAAAGAAAATAATTGGCTTAACTGTAATTCTTTTATCAATGCTTAACAAAATAGTAAATATTAACTACTACTAATTAACTGTTCCAATAGAATAATATTCCATAAACACACCCTTGGCAAAGGTAAATTCAGTAAAATAGGTTGTCTCATGCAAGTCTAGCAGCAGGAAGAGAATGCCGGTTTTTAGCTGTAACAGAGGGAGGAATAAGAGCTTCCACATCCAGCTTCAAGATCCCAGCAGCTGCAGAAAGCTAGAACTAAAAATCCTGGTTCCATGTGAGCTTGGCCCACCCATTCAGGCTGCTTCTATTGTACCAACTTTATTAAAAAAAAAACGAAGACCTCTCAAATGGTCTACTTTATTGGCTTTGAGTAGGCAGCTAGACACCTCTGTCTTAACCTTTCTTCATTTTAAATAAAGGACAAAATCCATCTCTTAAAGCCATTGTATCTTCATATACCCAAATATAGAATTGAAATGAGCTTGTATGCATGGCTTCAATAAAATGGATAGAAATATAGCTTTTCTTTAATTTAAAGTTCACCCCCTTTGGGTGTAATATTTGTTAGTTGGATTGACTGTGCAGTTCAAAATCTATACTGTGCAAAATTTTAAAGGGCATGATATCCCCTTCTCATTGTCACATAGGTAAATGATCTGCCTTAAATCCCCACTTTCTACTTCGCACAAATAAATTACGTGTCTAAGTGAGACTAACTAGCTAAATCATGAGTAATGATGTCATGGACGGAAATACTTTCCGACACAGTGGCTGACTGGTATTCTATTTGTGGAAGTTGGTTATCATAGTTGGCTGGTCAGCTGGTTTCCAATGCAGGATGAGGCCAACAGCATGTGTTCAATTCCTGCACCAGCTGAGGTTACCACGAAGGATTCTCCCTCTTGCTCTCCCCTCGCCTGAGTTATGGTGACCGTCCCATTAAACCACCGCCAAACGTTGCTCTCTATGATGACCTTACTATTCATTTTGTAATCTTTTCCTTCTCCAGCCATCCCAATTTCTTCCCATCGTTCTTGAAAATGCTAGGATGCAGTACAGTTTAGTAAGCTTGTGACCCTCAAAATTACATTTAATTAAAAGCTCTGATTTTTGGGCCGCTAATGGTCCTTAGCACATGTTGCTTATGCTGCTCAGATTACAATTGATGAAACTTAAAAATTAAATTTCCTGTCAAAGAGCATGCATTGGCAATTGTATTAATCATTACAGTCTAGCAAGACACAAAAATTGCTGGAGAAACTCAACAAATCTGGCAGTATCTGTGGAGGGAAAGCAGAGTTAACGTTTCAGGTCCAGGGACTGTTCTTTGGAACTAGGAAAAAGTAGTATATATTGTGAGTTTTTCCAGCAATATCTCTTTTTGATTGAGATTTTCAGCATCACAGTTCTTTATTTTATTTTAGAGAATGCTTACATATTTACTATGGTTCCTAATTGACCTTGGCTATTGATGAAATCTACCTTCTCTCAGGTGCACATTTACCAAACAGGATTTTGATTTCATTGAAAAACAGTCTCAATTTTAGTAGTGCTTTCAACTTTTGCATTAGTCATGTTCTTGCTCAAGCCAACTATTTTTAGCATATTCTTCTCCAGTTGGCTATTGTACACTTGTGACTGAAATGATAGAGAGCAGACAAGCTGTTCAACATAGTGAGATTGCTTATCAAGACCAAACTGTGTAAAGTCATGATCTGTGAGGTGGCTGCTGGTGTTGTTGTCCTGGAATCCCTTACTAAAGTTTACTTGCAACAGCTTAACAATGAGTTCTCCTGCCTGAGAGTTTTGGACTGACAGGCGGCGTCAGGAAGTCCAACAATTACGGGCCATTGACTTAATTCCACCTTTCATTAACATGGATTGTGGTGGTCCTTGACAACTTCACACATTTTAGTCAACAATCACCAACAATCTGACCCTCGATACCAAGATGAGCACCAGGATTGTCAAGGCCACAGCTGTCATGTCAAAGTTGTGAAGCCAAGTGTAAATCAACAGCAACCTAACAAAAAATGCAGAGCTCTGTGTGAGATTACGCTTGTTCTCAGCACCATCCTTAATGTGGTGAAGGATGGGCAGCTTGTGCAAGCTAAGAAAAATGGCTAAGCAGCTTGCACAGCAGCTTAGACAATTATTAAGTGGGACAGGACAGAGTACTTATATATTAACGTGCAGGGACCCGTCTTGAGTCAGTAGCAGCTCTGTTAGTCTGGTCATTTGCGCAGATTGGATGATGACTGCGTTCTCGAAGACATGTTCTATGCTTACTATTGTCTTGAGGTATAGCAGCCACAACAGATTATGTGCAGTCTAGAAGTGGCACATATTCCATGATTAATCATTATCATACTCAAACCACCCTCTGAGGGATGAATTCCATTATAGTGCTGCGTTAGCTACAATTACACAAGTGTTTAGCAGCATCAAATTTAATCTAAAATCCATTTCCCTTGACCCTTCATGTGTAAATCTGCAGAGGCAGAGGCTGTTCAACTATGACATGTCATGAAGTCAATTTCTTTTCTCTTGCTGATCACATATCTCTGTTTCTTGAGAGGCACTGGTAACAATGAGGAGTTGGACCTTGGATGACGTTCCCTCTCAACTAATGCAGTTTGAACCTGACTCTAGCATTTCTATTATAAAAATCAGCGAAAATCTCAGAACAGGGAGCAAGTATATGAAGGTAGTTTCACATGTAGCTCACTGGCTAGTACAGCCATAAGCCATGACTAAAGGTTTTAAATCATTCGTGCCGTATGTTTTTGTGAACCTGCTGCAGCCTTCCTATAGTGAAATGTGTGAGAGAAATGGCATATTTCTACCTGACTTTTGTAGTAATTTATTTGTAGGAATAATCTGAGGGATGTCTTTAATGCTGAACATTCAAAAGTAACATTTTCTATACTTGAATTTTTATTTATTTTGATAAATTGTCAATTTGCATTTAAATTCAATCTATATCTTGAGGGAAAAAAAAGTTCTGTGTGCTTCTTTCAAAAGAAAAAGCACTGAGTAGAAAAGTAGTCAGCCTAAAAGTAGTAATTGGGGTAACCCAGATCTGTAATATATATAATTCTGGAGCTTCTATTTTGTATGGGGTTGAGGCAGTAGTTACCTTGGAGAACTGAATGGTTATCTACTTCACTTCCTCATTTTCTGTGCTGTTCCTATTTGTTGCCATAATGGACTATCATCTACTTCATGTACTTTCTATTTATTAACTCTTACCTCTGAATAGATAATTTGATTTTATACTTTTATGTTGGAATCTGTCTTCAGCATGGACTTGTTCAAAAAATCACTAGTGTACAAGGCTGGGCCTTTACAAGTGCCAAATGGGATTTTTTTTTTCATATATACAATCCTAACTGGATATTTGAACATGTTTTTGAATTCCAGTCGTCATCATCCATCTCCCATGTACTTTTCTAGCCACAAATTTGTATTTGCAGAGATAGCAGGAACTGCAGATGCTGGAGAATCTGAGATAACAAGGTGTAGAGCTGGATGAACGCAGCAGGCCAAGCAGCATCAGAGGAGCAGGAAGGCTGACGTTTCGGGCCTAGACCCTTCTTCAGTTAGTTTTTGCAGTTAGTTTGTAAAATGCAAAACTGAAATCATTGATTTTCTTCTTGCATTTTTAGAAAGAAGCTTCCCCACACACAGCTTGGTAAATTAGATTTAGCATAAAAAGTGCTGCCTCAGTTTATCACCGATTTTCCTCATCAGACGAGTTGGATTAGAATATAGTTGGCATGGTTAGCAAGTTTGCAAATGACACCATTAATGGTGGTATAGCGGACAGTGAAGAAGGTTATCTGAGATTACAAAGCGATGTTGATCAATCGGGTCAATGGGCTGAGGAGTGGCAGACGGAGTTCAATGTGAATCAATGTGAGGTATTGCATTTTGGTAAAACAAATAAGGGCAGAACTTGTACAATTAATGGTGGGGCCATGGATAGTGTTGTAAAACAGAGAGACCTAGAGGTTGAGGTGCATAATCCTTCTAAATTTGTGTCACAAGTAGACAGGGTGGTTAAGAAGGCATTTAGCATGCTTGCCTTCATTGCTCAGACTTTTGAGTAGGAGTTGGGATGTAATGTTGAGGTTGTACAGGACATTGGTGAGGCCTGTTCTGGAGTACTGTGTCCTGTTCTGATCACCCTGTTGTAGGATGGATATTATTAAACTGGAGAGGGTTCAGAAGAGATTTACCAGGATGTTGCCAGAAATGGTGGGATTGAGTCATAAGGAGAGCCTGGATAGGCTGGGAGTTTCTTTTATTGGAGCATAGGAAGTTGAGGGGTGATGTTTAAAGGTTTATAAAATAATGAAAGGCACAGATAAGGTGACTATCAAAGAGCTTTTCCCTAAGGTGGGGGGAGTTCAAAATTAGTTCAAAATTATTTTTAAGGTGAGAGAAAGATTTAAAACAGACATTACGGGCAAATTTTTTTAAACAGAGAGTATGTTAGTGTGTGGAATGAACTGCCAGTGGTGGTTGATGCAGGTGTAGTTACAATGTTTAAAGGCATTTCGTTAAGTACATGAATAGGAAAGTTTTAGAGGAACATGGGCCTAATGCAGGCAGGTGGGAATATGGTTGGCATGGACTAGTTGGACCGAATGTTTGGTTTCCATGCTGTATGAATCTATAATTTCAAGATTTTTTTTATACCACCACCTAGCTATGAAGTGGTCACCTCTCTAAGGAAAGCATTTTTGTATAGATTTCCATATCACTTTCTCTGATACTGTCTTAATCTCGTTTTCTTTTAATCATGTAGTATTTAAAATTTTACAATGAGCCATGAAAGAACTTGATTTTGAAGTTGTGATAATTGTTGTAAATATGATTCTTATAATGAATCGAGTATTCCTTTTAAAGTGGTTGCTATATGCTAAGATTTCAGCTCTTGAAGTGGATGAACAACTAAAAGAAATCCGTAGAGAAAAACTGGAAAATTTGAAGCGTTTTCAAGAAGAGGTGAAGCACCGCGTGAACAAGTATACTCGATTACGCAAAAAACAGCAACAGCAGCGATCTTATGAAGCAGTAAGGAAATGTTAAAGAAGTGATTAAACAGATACACATTCTTCATCTTAGTATCTCTATATCGTTAGAAATACACTAATATCCCTCTTAATGCCTTTTTAATATCTAGTGAATTGAACACCTCATCTGCCTAAATTTGACACAATTTCAAAGTTAGATTTTTTTTCTTTTACAACTTCTGTATTTTTTTATTAATCATTGGAGATATAATTTGAATGTAGCCATTATTTTGCTCAACTTTTCGAGAAGATCTTACAGTGATCTCTCTTGATACAACGATGGTTTAATGTGGCTCGCAACCTTTATAAGACAGCTCCCAAGCTGTGTTAACAACTTTTCTAAATTCCTGTAAAAATGGCAGGATAAAATATGAAGAAGAGTCACTGGAAGTTAACTCTGATTTCTCTCCACAGATGCAGCCAGACCTGCTGAGATGTTCCAGCAATTTCTGTTTTTGTTCTTGATTTCAATTTCCAGCATCCATAGTTCTTTGTTTATTTTTAAACTTAGGATAAAATATGGTATGGACCTGACTGCTAATTCACTGTTATATTAACCAAAAATTGCTGAAAATACTCAAATTGAGCACCAACTGTAGAGAAAAAAGGACAGAGTTACTGTTTCACATTAATGATCTTCTGTCAGAATTTGCTGACTGATATCTTAACTCACTTTCTCTCTCTGCAGGTGCTGCCTGACTTTGAGGTTTTGCAGTATTTTCCAGTGTTATTTCGAATCTCTGTTCTCTGCAGTTTTTTCTTTTGGTAGACTCATATCTTCTTTTTAACAATTGTTAAGATATTTCATAATGACAAATTAATGGAACTATATGGGGGGGAGAAATGGATACATTACATAAATCCAGTATCGCAGTGTAATTTCTGTCACCCTACTTCTGCTTTAAGTATTTTAACACAACAGTACAAGTGGGGGGAGAAAAACATATTAGCCATGTTATATCTCATCGCATTGAGATAATCCGGTCAAATAATGCATTTTTTGCAATGTTCCATTAATTAGTGTATGTGCTATACATTAACGTAGCCACAATAATTCATGTATTGCATTTGAACTAGTATGCTGCTCTACAAAGATGGGGGATTGTCAGTTTGATTAAAAGACAAAGAAGATAGCAAATGTAAGGTTTTAAGTTGTTTCACACCCTATTTTAAGCAGTGGACCCTACAATCTAGCTGTACGTAACACACGTATCACTTAAACTATCTTATTTCTCTTTTTCTAGGTTGAAAGGGATGATCATGTGATAAAGCAATCATCTGCTTCAGTTGAACATCTCACTCCAAATAAAAACACTTGCGTGTTTCGTGGTAATAATGCAGAGTTTGCAATTTTCAGTCCAAGCTCCAGATGGGTGTGTGCTCAGAGTCTAGGCATTGACAAGGAGGAAAGCAGTGATGTTTTCAGTGATCAAGCTCGGAAGGTGAGCATCTCCAAGAGAGAATTGAACTGCAGCTGGTTGTCCTTGAAGCTATTTCATCTTTCTAACAGAGCAAAATAATACTCCTTTTGTGACAGAAGGGACAATTGTACATAATGAAACCTTGCCATTGTCATATTGCACTCCTTTGTTGAAACTAGAATTTCAAATATTCATCTTTCCACTACCCATCACTAAAATTCTGTTACTTTTATGAGTATAAAATGTAAAAACACTGAGTTCCAAGTCTTGCACAATATTTGCCTTTTGTGCTGTCAATGCAAATGCTCTGCAGAAATTTCATATTGCTCAAAATTCATATTGATTCATCTATCTGTGCAATAATGTCTAAGTATGACTAATTTATGGAAGATTTGGTCTGTTAGACCAAGTCTGGAGGTTGCTTTCTTTCCATATTAAAGATTTAATGAGAAGTTACAACATAAAAATAGTAATGATCTTATAATACATGTGTACAATTATATAACATTAAACAAGTCATTGAAATATAACCTGATAAAGTTTAATACTGACAAGGTTCCATGGCAGTTTCCTTTGAAAGGTATTGTGGTAAAACTTGATTTATCCAGTCCAACTTCAAGAATGTTCTAAACTATAAGTGAAAACCTGACTTTATATACTCTTTAATCACCACTGCTTACAGGACCTTGAGCACCCCCTCCCTTGACTGCCCCTTTTGGAATTGTATATCAATCACTCATTCTGTCTCTTTCCAAAAGAAGAGGGTAGGTCGGTTTAGGTCAGTTGCCTGGATGGCTGCTTTGTGATGCAGAATAATGCCAACAGCATGCGTTCAATTCCTGCACTGGCTGAGGTTACTGTGAAGGATTCTCCCCCTCAACCTCTCGCCTCCACTGAGGTGTGGTGACCCTCTCAGAGACCGCAGCCCTATGGTCTGGTAAGACTATGGCTACTTTACCTCTACCTGTTTCCAAAATATGGCAGGAATAGGTAACTAATAGTTTCTGTCACAATTTCAAACTGATACAGTAGCCAAGACAGGTTGTCTCATTATTTGGGCAGATTGATGATACACTATTATAACAAGTTTATGTAATCTAAATGGTGGTTGATGATATTAATTTGAAAGCTTATCTGCTTTTCTTAAGGGAATGTCACAATTATTGTAGTTGAGCAATTGTATTAAAATTATTTTTTATGAGTTTGAGGGGGAAGTGTTTTTGATCTCTTCAAGGAATGGCTGTACTGTAATTTGTTCCATTTCACTCTTTGAATTGTTATGATCCAGTTGGGACTTGGTAACATTTAAAGAGAATTTTAAACAGCTTATTTTAAGCAATAGTCTACACCACAAAATTTCATGATTTTAAACAAAAACAAACTTATGTTTAATTCAGAAAATACAGGAATATTTGACCTACATTGTAATAAATACCAGTGACAGCCTTGTATTACTGAACAGAAATAAAAATCTCTTGTCCGTTGTTTTTGAGTGTGCAGTATTTAAATTGCACATCTCCCTCTCTCTCCCCCTCCCTTTCTCTTTCTTTCTCTCTCTCTTTACCCCCCTTTCTCTTTCTCACTCTCTCTCTCCCTTTCTGTTTCTCTTTCTGTCTCTCTGTTTTTGTCTCTGTCTAGCCGGAAGATTTTTTTAATGCCTACTTCCATTCACCAAGTAAGAAAATGTACAGATTACTTTCTTGCTTCCAGGTACTTTCCAGGCTATCTATGCTGGTGAATTGTACAATAGGGACTATTGAGGTTTTTAATGATAATTTTTGACCATATGCTTTTCAATAGATCCTTTGATGGATCAACAGAGATTGAAAGTGCAAACCTACAACAAACTCAATTGTCTAGTTGCATTTTCTTATGTTATTACATCTAGAGTTAAAATCAATTTGAGTTTTTTGTTTCTAACTTAAGTTAAAGGTAGTTTTATATAAATTGGAAGCATTCAGTGCATTTATAAAATAGTATAACTAATTAAAGGGGGGTATCGCGTAGAACTGAAGTGTTGTTTCTGAGTTATCTTGTATTTGTGCCTATTTCAAGGCAAAAGTTATCCTTTTTAAACTAATACTAATGAGTCTGATTTGTTTTTAGCTTAGTAAAGTTACAAAACAGGCTCGGCATAGGCTTGCATCATGTCAAACAGTATCAGAAGAGGACTTGTGCTCAACGCTTCCAGGAGGAATTTGGAGGGAGTCTCCACCAAGAGATGTGAGTTAAGTTGCATGTCATAATGTAAAATAATGACTATGAACAAATCTACTGTCTTGGAGTGTGTAGAAATTTTTGCTTTTGAAATAATTTGAGAACCTGACATTGAAAGAAACCACAATATCTCCCAATTTGGAGTTTTTAATGCATCTCCTTAGAAACAAAATAGACGTCATTTGTTTTTTTTTTCCCCAATCTCAAACTGCTGATTTTGTGATGAATTGCGAATTTATTTATTGTGGACTATGTCCATAAGGTATCATTCTTTTCTAATGCCATTTCACTTAAGACCTCCAAAGCAGAGAAGTAGACTTTCAGTTATATCATGTTTAGTTGAAAACTTGACTTCTCAATTGAAAGAACTCTTACTAACATTTCAATCTCGAAAATCCATTTTCGTGTTTAGAGAAATTAAATAAGTAGACACCAGTTGATTGCATAAGACATGCATTTACTTCCTCTTCTAAGTTTTACAATGACTTCTGAAAGTGTTTTCTTACCCAAAAAGTGTGTCCATGAGAAATAGGGAAGCAGTTTGTATACAATTAGTGCCTTAATACTGTGTTGGAGTATTTAGAATCAATACTTGCTCAGACATTAGTTCATCCCTATTATTTTGTGAAATTGAATGTCGGGTGTTTACATTTTAAATCATGGCTTTAGTTGTACGTTAAAGCTACATTTGCATTTCTGTGATGTCTAAATGTCAAATCAAATGCTGGTTTATATTGGTCTCACATAGTTTACATCACTTGGGTGAAGTCTCATTATATAAACTGTAATTTTGAATAGCTTTTGAGAAAAAATTGGTACTTGATCATGGTTGCAGACTTGCTCGCCAAGCCAGTGTGTTTGAAGCAGACATTTTGTCACCCGGGTAGGTAACATCGTCAGTGCACCTCCAGTGAACCGTAATGTTTCTCATAGTCCTTGCATGGTATTTTGTATATTACATTAATTTTATTGGTTGTGGGTAAGTTGTAATAATGTCTGAAGGAATAGGATAGAAAATAGAGGAAGGAGGTGGTAATGGAAAAAAATTGGGAAGGAAAATGAAGACAGTCAGTATGCCCTCGTGTCCAGAAGCCTAATGAATGATTTAAATGGCCAGTTAGGGACTGCTTCCTGCCAATGCTGGTGTTTTACCGGCAACCGGTACGAATCTCTATCTCTGTGCGGAGCCTGCCAGTTGAACCATGGTGGTCTCCCCATGGGGTTTGTGCGTTCTGATCAAGCACTCTGTGATGCATCAAAGAACCCCAACCCCCAGAGAAATGGTGACCATGCAGCATTGCCCATTACTCTTTGCCAGAGTTTTACCTGGCTACAATGATCCTGACTCCATTTATCTTTGTTTGAAAGTGCTGTCCATGTCATCTGCCTGTATGTCAGTGAAAATTTAAATCCTTGTAAACCCTGAGAGTAAAAGGTGAAATAACAGGAGTGACATTGCAAGCAACTTTTTGAAATCGATGTTATAAAATTTTGTTCCTTTACTTGGGAATCTTAAGTGTTAGACATTTAATTTTTCAGTGTGATTTTATTTTCATTGCCGATTGAAATGAAAATAAAATCAGTATATACTTGTATTAAGCAAAATTTAGCAATATTACTTATGACTAGACTGCATCATGTGATTAAACTAAGGTTGTCTTGCTCTTAAGTAGGTTTTAACTGCAAACCTGAAGTTCTATCTACATTCAAACTGAAATGGTGTTCCAGAATTGGATTTTATCAATCAAATTTTTCTCCCCACTTTTCCTGAAGGCACCTGGTTTAAACTGTCCTAGCAACATGTCCAACTGGCCACTCAAAGCTGAGCCTAAGCAGTGAATGTCATTCAGTTACTCGACTGCACTTAAAACCATAGGCACTATTTGCTCTTCTACAAAGTATTTTGTCCTTTATAACAGGGTCATTGCTTATTGTGCTTAGGATGACTTTTTCTCTTACAGAGAAATTGTAATAAGTGTTATGTGTGACATACTTCTAATATAGATTACAAGTAGCACAGTTCCCCTAAAGTAAAAATCTTAAATATTTTCATCCTCAAACAGTTGTTTTTGACTTCTTATTCCCCTACACTTCCTCAACCTGATCCAAAATTGCAAAATCTGCAATAAAAATGGAAAATGCTACAAATGCTCAGCTGATCAGATAGCATTTGTGGAAAGAGGAGCAGATTTTGATGATAAGTCAATGACCTGAAATGTTAAGCGTCATGTTTTGATACTAACGACCTTGTCAGAGTTTGAAATAACAACAGAATGGCCGCTAGTCAATCATTAAGGGCATTTTCTCCTTTTCCAGAACCCAGTATCCCAAAAAGAGGGACAACTAGATGTTACAAGAGATTTCACGTGTTTGGAAGACCAGCATGACCTGCCTGCTGAGTTGCAGGAACAGTCTCAGAAAGTGATGGATGGAAAACATGTTACTTTCCAGCCAGAGCTGCAACATCTAAAGGTTAGAGTTACACTTCTAGATTAATGTTCTGAACTATGGTTTGGCAAGGAACGTGGTTGATATTTCCAGCATTTTCTATTTTTATTTCTAGTTGAGTATTGTTTGAAAGTTATACAATCATAGAATCCCTACAGTGTAGAAGCAGGCCATTTGGCCCATCAAGTCCACACCAACCAGCATCCCACCCAAACCAACCCCCATTCCCTGTCCCTGTAACACTGCATTTTCCATGCATGATTCAACCAGCCTGCTCATGCCTGGAAACTACGGGCAATTTAGCACGGCCAATCCACCTAACCTGCACATCTTCGAACTGTGGGAGGAAACCGGAGCACCTGGTGGAAACCCACACAGACAGGGGGGGAATGTGCAAACTCCACACAGTCACCTGAGGGTGAAATCGAACCCAGGTCCCTGGTGATGTGAGGCAGCAATGCTAACCACTGAGCCACCATGGCTCCTGTTGTAGCACTTGAGATTTAGCAGTAATCAAATTGTGAACGGAATACTTGTGGTTTGTCTATTTGGAAGCATGGCAGCTTTATTTACAAAGTGCCTAAACAAAGTTGAATAAAATAATGTTTAGTACTAATCCAATGGCCGGGGGATGGTTTTGTTTTCTGGCTTCTTGCGTTAGCATTCATGTTTTGTGGTAAACTAAAGATGTAAAAAGATCTTCAACAGTACAGACTGCATGTGGACTTCTAAAGAAAGGCAATAACATATTTTGTGTTTGTTTATTATTAGTTTCTACCTAGACTTAATTTTATGAACTTGTGTTGCCTGATTTATTATAGTGCAGCTGAATTGTGATCTTATGCATATCCTGCTCTTCTACAAACTGCTCTGAAAGGGAAAGTGAGACATGTAGCTTTCTTGCATAAGGCACTTCAAAATTCCATTGTTCAGACAACCCAATGATATGAGGAGTTAATGGCCAAAGATGTATTCTTATCATATCTGTTACACTTCTGCAGATGAAGCTGCTGGTTTACTCTACTGCATCCAAGTTCCTTTAAATATGTGGTTTCATTTTCTTTTGTGGATTTTATATGGGGGTAAGAATTTTGGAGGAGACATAAAAAGTCAACATGGTGACCTAGTTTATCATTCAGGGCATTCTGTCATTTTCCAGAACTCAACATCCCAAAGAGGGGCACATCTGAATATCGCAGGAGAGTTCATGTGTTTGGAAGGCCAGCATGACCTACCTGCAGAGTTGCAGGAGCAGTCTCAGAAACTGATGGATGAAAAACATGTTACTTTTCAGCCAGAGCTGCAACATGGAAGGGTAAGACTTGGGTTTCCAAATTATTGTTCTAAACTGTGTGATAGTGAGCAGTGAAGTGGAATCTATCTAAAAATGTGATTTTAAATCAATGTAACATTTTAATTGGTGCAAAATTCTATTGCTAATAAAGTGTTTGTAACTTCCCAATCATTCCTCATGTAATACAGAATCTAAATCCAATTTTTCATCTGCACCAGTTTACAAATCTTCACTGTCTTGTTAAGAAATCTTGCAGCATCCCAAGCTTAATATCTTGAATTCTGAGAGGGCATTTTGAGTTTGTGATTTCCTCCAGTGTCACTTTAAACAATGATAAAAATATTGGTAATGTCGTTCCCTGATGTTTATACACCTGATGTGGCCATAGTGAATTGATGTAAGCGCAACATGTTTAATTTTAGTTATTTTATTTTTTCCATTATATTCAGTGGTGTTACCATCACTGAATTCCCCCAATATCATCATCCTTGGGGTTATCATTGACAAGAAACTCAACTGGACTCACCACATAAACACAGTGGCTACATGAGCAGGTCAGAGGCTAGGAATACTGTAGCAAGTAACTCGCTTCCTGACTCCCCAAAGCCTGTCCACTGTTCACAAGGCACAAGTCAGGAGTGCCTCACTTGCCTCGATCGGTGCAGCTCCAGCAACTCAAGAAGGTTGACAACATTGAGGCCAAAGCAGCTCACTTTATTGGTACCACATTCACAAGCATACACTCCCTGTTTAGTAGCAGCAGTGCACTGCAGAAATTCACTAAAGATTCTTAGCCAGCACTTTCCAAATCCATGACCACTTCCATCTAGAAGGACAAAGGTAGCAGATAAATGGGAATACTACCACCTGCAAGGTTGCCTCTAAGCCACTCACTATCCTGACCTGGAAATATATTGCTGTTTCTTCACTGTCACGAGATCAAAATCCTGGAATTCCTTCCCTAAGGGCATTGTGAGTCAACCTACAGCAGGTGGACTAGAGCGGTTCAAGAGGGCAGCTCATCATTAACTTCTCAAAGGCAATTGAGGATGGCCAATAAATGCTGGCCAACCAGTGACCCCACTTTCCATGAGTGAATACAAAAAGAAACACATGCTATAGGTCCACCTTTGGGATATATCTGTTGTGCCTTGCTAATAAATCTCTGGTGGTCTTCAGAGACCGGCAGGTTACATTCACCAACTTTAGTTGTTGTATTGTCGAGTGCTTGATCATTGGTATGTAATATAACTGCATGGTAGTCTCTTTGATGTGAATGATCTGTTGCTTCAGACTGTTTTCTGCTATCAGGACTTTGTTGCTGCGTGGACATGTTTATTAAAATGAGCTTGGTTTAAATGTTGCAACAAAATGTACTAACTGTCATAACTACTACTTTTTCAGTGGTGTTTAACTTCCTATATTCTTTTGAGAGTTATGAATTATTTATTTAAATGTTTGATAATCTTCCACCATTATCTTTTGGTCTAATTTCCCAATTTCAGACACTAAATTGGCTTTCTTTAAAATTAAGACCACAGTTTTGAACGTGGCTGCATCTCTGTTTCTATGAAATTCATCATACTGTGATCCCCAGAGAATCATGTTACTAATTAATCTCTCATTATACAATGAGGTCTAAACTAGTCTATTCCCTAGCTGGTTCTTCAATACCGTATTCTTGAAAACTGCCTCCAAAGCATTCCATCAGTTTACCTTCCAAGCCACATTAGTTCACCCAGTTTTCATGAAGATTAAAGATTCCCAAACTTATTGCATTACTCTTGTTACACGCTCCTCTGATTTCCTGATTATAGACTCTGCCCAATTGTATTACAATTCATGGTCCTGTAAACTACCAGTGTTTCTGTTCCCTTTGTGATTTTGCAGCTACATGCTTAATAATTCTGCGTTCTGATTTTCTAGACAAAGATCCTTTTCCCCCTACTATTTTCATCCCTTTGATATACCTCTGTTTCCATTGCCAGCTTTTTTTAAGTAATTTAAAGATAGAGAGTTTGTGTGTGTGTGTTTCTGTTACCAAAATGAACGACTGACTCACCAAGCCTTTTTTGATGTGAATGGAAAAAGTCTGTATTTTAATTTTAGATTCCAGATGCAATTGACTCCAGTAAAAATGGCATTGCAAAATATCTCTCATCTTCCTGTTTTCTTCATAATGTACAGAATTCTGAACCAAGGACAATGGTTTTCCATTTTGGTGTATACTTTAACTCTGTGCAAGCTATGATTTATTGATTGCCACATTTAATCTGAAGCAAGTATATTTTACAAATATATTGGTGTGTTTAAAACATGCAAATTATTTTATTAAGTTAATTAATAGTTTCATGGAACTGTTTTAAAATTTACCCTATGACAATTTGATTGCAGCCTAGAAGTCTTGGTTAAGCATATAATAATATTTTTCAAATTATCCACTAAAATAAAGGTAATGTTACCATTGTTCCAGAAGACCATAGGGTTGCGCTCTCATTAGAGAAAACAAAGAACAAACCAGCACAGGAACAGGCCCTTCGGCCCTTCAAGCATGGAAAACCACATTTTGCTCTTCCATACTAAAACTGTCCTCACTTAGAGGATCCGTATCCCTCTGTTCCCTTCCTATGCATGTATTCGTCCAGGTACTTGTTGAATACTGCTATTGTGTCTGCTTCCACCATCTCCTCTGGTAAAGCGTTCAACCACTCACCACCCTTTGTGTGAAAAACTTGCCTCGCACATCTCTTTTAAAAGCCCCCCAGCACCTTGAATCTCTGTTCCCTAGTAATTGACCGCTCCATCCCCAGGAAAAAGCCTCATACTTTCCACTCTATCCATGTCATTCACAATCTAATAAACTTCTATTAGGTCGCCCCCACAAACTCCTGTGTTCCAGTGAAAACAAACTAAATCTAGCCAACCTTTCTTCATAGCTAAAATCCCCCGTACCAGGCAACATCCTGGTAAACTTTTTCTGTACACTCTCCAAAGCATCCACATCACTAGAACTGTATGAAATATCCCATGTGTGGTCTAACTAAAGTTCTACAAAGCTGCAGCATAACTTGTCTATCCTTATACTCAATGCCCCTTCCAATGAAGGCAAGTATGCCATAAGCCTTTTTTACTACCTTACCTACTTGGGCTGCCACCTTCAGTGATCTGTGGACCTGCATACCCAGATCTCTCTGTATATCAATACTCCTAAGGGTTCTGCTATTCACTGTATAATTTCCACCTATACTTAACCTTCCAAAATGCATCACCTGACATTTGTCTGGATTAAAGTCCATCTGCCATTTTTCTGCCCATGCCTCCAATTGAGCTGTATCCTCTGACAATCCGCCTCACTATCCACAACTCCACCAATATGTATATCATCCGTAAACTTACTAATTAGACCAGCTATGTTTTCCTCCAAATTATTTATGTAGATCACGAACAGCAGAGGTCCCAGCACTGATCCCTGTGGAACACCACTAGTCACATTCCTCCATTCTGAAAAGCATTCTTCTACCCTCTGTTTCCTATGACTAAGCCAGTTCTGTGTCCATCTTGCCAGCTGACCCCTCATACTGTGTGACTTCACCTTTTGTACCAGTCTGCCAAGAAGGACCTTGTCAAAGGCTTTAGTGAAGTCCATGTAGACAACATCAACCACTTTTCCCTCCTCAATCATCTTAGTCACCTCCTCAAAAAACTCAATCAAGTTAGTGAAGCACGATCTCCCCTGCACAAAACCATACTGTCTATCGCTAATAATTCCACTTGCTTCTAAATGCGTATAGATCTTGTCCCTGATAATCTTTTCCAATAATTTCCCTACTAACTGGCTTGTTATTTCCTGGATTATCCCTGTTACCCTTCTTAAACAATGGGACAACATTGGCTATTCTCCAGTCCTCTGGGACCACACCTGTGGCTGAAGAGGATATGAAGATGTCTGTCAATGCTCCAGCAATTTGTTCTCTTGCCTTCCTCAATATTCAGGGATAGATCCCATCAGGACTCAGAGACTTATCTACCTTAATACTTTTTAAGAAGCACAGCACCTCTTCCTTTTTAATAGCAGTTTGGCTTTGAAACTCGACACTCCCTTCCCTGAGATCATCCTCCACCAATTCCTTCTCTTTGGTGAATACCGGCATAAAGTATTTGTTTAGGACCTCACCTACCTCTTCTGACTCCACACACAGATTCCCTCCTTGACCATGAGTGGACTACCCCTTTGCCTGGCTACCGTCTTGCTTTTTATATAGGTATAAAAAGCCTTTGGGATTCTCCTTAATCCTGTTTCCTAATGACTTTTCATTACCCCTTTTAGCCCTTCTAATTCTTTGTTTAAGTTCTTTCCTACATTCCTTATATACTTCAAGGGCTTCATCAGTTCCCATCCTCCTAGACCTTACATATGCTTCCTCTTTCTTTCTGACCATAACAGCCAAGGCTCACGTAACTTGCCATTCCTATCCTTTATTCTCGCAGGAACATGCCTCTCCTGAACTCTTATCAACTGCTGTTTGAAATATTTCCAGAATTCCAATGTAGATTTACCCTCAAACAGCTGCCTCCAATCAAAATTCTCCAGTTCCTGCCTATTATTGTTGTAGTTCGCCTTCCTCCAATTTAACACCTTCACCTGAGACTGCTGTTATCCCTATCCATGAATATCTCAAAACTCATGGTATTATGGCCACGACTGGAAGTGGTTTAACCTGAGAGTCAACTTACCTCAGGCAAGGGAAGAAGTTGAGAATGAGGGACCTTCTAACCTTAGCCAATGACGAGAACTGAACCTGTGCTGTTGGCATCGCTTCATCACAAACTAGCCATCCAGCCAGTAATTTGAATGAAGTAATCTAAAGAAGAGCAAAATAGATATTTAAGTCTTAAAAAGGGTATTTTAAAAAAGTGTTTTGAGGTTGAAAGAATTAAAGGTGCATATTGCAGAAAAAGGTTTAAAATTAATTTAAATAAATAAAATGTGTGACTTTCTAACCCCTTAAGCTTTGTTATTGATTGTGCTCCTCCCTGTAGACTGTTATCTGACTTTGTGTATGTTAATTATTATTTCAGCCCTGTAGTCGATTTTATCGTGAGCCCTACCCCACAAGTTCCTTTGTAGGGTTTAGTACTGACTATAAGGCAGCACTAATCTTGAGACCTGGTGTGGACCAGGAAGAGAGAAAGAAGCAGGTAAGAAGTCTGAACTTTTATGAATCAATTTGACCTTTGTCATATGGAAATCGGCAGGTTACTTTTAACATTGGGAGGTTGCATGAAAGGGAAGCAAAAAAATCTGTGTTCTGCTGATTTCTGATGACTACATCCACATTGCATTGATTGTGGAAGCTGTGTGATGTGTATAGAACCTCAACTAACAGACTCAATAAAACTGCTGAATAATCTAGTACAGGAGTAATTGAATTTTTGTAGCTATTATCTAAGGTAGTCTCTGAAAGTTTGCTTTTCTTGTCTTACATGATGTGTATGTGCTGCGGTAGAATTAGATACAACATGGATTTACAAAAAGGAAATAATGCTTGACAAGTTACTGAAATTCTCCCGAGGATGAAACCAGTAGAGTTGACTGGGGAAACCTGTCGCTGTAGTTTGTTTGAACTTTCAAAAGGTTTTTGACAAAAGTCCCACGTAAGAGATTAATGTGCAAAATCAAAGCACATGGGATTGGGGGTAGTGGATTGAGATGGATAGAAAATTGGCTAGCAGACAGGAATAAATGGGTCTTTTTTCTGAATGGCAAGCAGGAATCGGTGTTAGGACCCCAGCTATCCACAATATATGTTAATAATTTAGTTGAGGGAACTAAAGGTAACATTTCAAAATTTGCAGATAGCACAAATCTGGGTGTAAGGGTAGACTGTGAGGAAGCAAAGATCTTGTGGTGTGATTTAGACAGGCTGAGTGAGTGACCAAATGCATGGCAGATACGGTATACAGTGGATAATTGTGAGGTTAGCAAAAATAGGAAGACGGATTATTATTTGAATGGCTGTCAATACGCACCAGTTGCTGAAAGTACACATACAGGTGTAGCAGGCAGTAAAGAAGTCTTTCATGATGAGAGGATTTGAGTACAGGAACAGGCATGTCTTGCTACAGTTTTAGAGGACATTGATAAGAGCACACCTGGCATATTGTGCACAGTTTGGTTTCGTATCTGAGGAAGCATAGTCTTGCTATAGAGGGAGTGCAGCGAAAGTTTACCAAATTGATTCCTGGGATGGCAGGACTGACATATGAGGAGAGATTGAGTTAGTTAGGATTGTATTCACTGGAATTCAGAAGAATGAGGGAGGAGATCTCATAAAAACCTATAAACTTCTAACAGGACCAGACAGGTTAGATCAGGATGGATGTTCCTGATGGGGGAGTCCAGAATCAGGGGTCATTGGTCATTGTTTAAGGCTTAGGGGTAAACCTTTTAGGACTGACATGAGGAGAAATTTCTTCACCCAGAGAATGATGAGCCTGTAACATTCACTAACACAGAAGTGATTGAGACCAAAACATTATGTTTTCAAGAAAGAAGTAGATATAGTTCTTGTGGCTAAAGGGATCAAGGAATATGGGGGTTGGGGGCGAAGCGGTGGGCAGGTGTAGGATTAGGGTATTGAGCCCAATGATTTAGTCATGATCGTACTGAATGGCAAAGCAGGCATGAGGAATGTCTCCTAGCTTCTGCTCCTATCTTCTACATCTGTGTTTATAAAAAAAAAATACAAATGCTGAATTGGTGACTACGAAATTAAATAGTAAGTACCTGAGCAAAACATTGTCACTTTGTGTTCAGTTAATTAATGTGAGATTATGTATTCAAGGCTCTAGCTAGGTATGCACCTGAGGATGACTTTCCTTTCTCTTTCTTAGATTATGAACATCCTTGGCAAGTTTTGTATTTATTGCCCATCACTTGAGTAGGTGTTGGTGAGCTGCGTTCTTGAACTGTAGTTTTAGAGATGCAGGTACACTCACCATGGTGTTTGGGAGGGAGTTCCAGCATTTTCACAGTGTTGCAATTCAGGATGTTGTGTGGCTTGGATCAGAAAACAAATTGGCAGTGTATGCATTTGCTGTCATTGTCCTTTTATATGGTAGAGTTTGTGGGTTTGGATGGCACTTTCAAAGGAGCCTTGGTGAGTTTCTGCAGTGCATCATGTAGATGTGGCAGACTGCTGCCACCTTGTGTCAGTGATACACAAAGTTCTGATCAGATGGGCAGCTTTGTCCTGAAGGTGTAGAGCTTCTGGAGTGTTGTTGAACTTGCAGTGATCGCGCATGTGAGAAGTATGCCTTCACACTCCTCACTCGTGCGTTGTGGTAGACAGGATTTGTGGGAAAGTGGAAGCAGGTTACTCGCTTCAGTATTCCAAAACACAGACTTGTAGCTACAGTTTCAGGTTTTGAGTTAACTCTAACCATAGTAACTCTAATGATTTAATCCAGTTAAATGCAGCAAGATCTGGACAATATCCAGGCTTGGGCTGACGAGTGGAAAGTAACATTCACGCCACACAAAAACCAGGCTATGACCATCATCAATAAGAAACAACCTAACCACCGCCTCTTGACATACAATAGTGTTACAGTCACTGATTCCGCCACTATCAACATTCTGGGGTTACCATTGACCAGAAACTCAACTGGACTCACCACATAAACACAGTGGCTACAAGATCAGGTCAGAAGCTAGGAACTGCAGCGAGTAACTCACCTCCTAACTCCCCAAAGCCCATTCTTCATTTACAAGGCACAGGTCAGGAGTGTCATGGAGAACTCCCCATTTGCCTGGATGGGTGCAGCTCCAACAACACTCAAGCTTGACACCATCCGGGACAAAGCAGCCCACTTGAGTGGCACTACATCCACAAGCATCCACTCCCTCCACTGCTGATGCTCAGTAGCAGCAGTGTGTACTATCTACAAGATGCACTGCAGAAATTCACCCAAGATCCTCAGACAGCACCTTTCAAACCTATGACCACTTCAATCTAGAAGAACAAGGGCAACAGATACATGTGAACACTACGACCTGCAAGTTCCCCTCCAAGCCACTCAACATCCCTACTTTGAAATATATCACAATTTCTTCACTGTCACTGGGTCAAAATCCTGGAATTCCCTCACAAATAGCATTGTGGGTAAACCCACAGCAGGTGGACTGAAGCGGTTTAAAAAGGCAGCTAACCACCACCTTCACAAGGGCAACCAGGGACGGGCAATAAATGCTGGCCAGCCAGCAACACCGACATCCCACAAATGAATAAAACAAAATTTATGGTCAAAAACTAATCCTTTTAATGTTGATGTCAGGACTTGGTTCAGCAGAAATGGGCTTAGCTGTAATTCATTATAATTAACTGGATTTTTTTCCCCTTTAGCAAGTAAAACAAATCCCATTAAAAGAAACCAGGTTGCAAGCTGACCAGAGGTTTAATTTGTTCTCCTGTATTAACAGCCAAACACCAATTCCTGTGTTTAGATAAAAATATGCACCAACTTGATTTTTTTGATGCTTTCAATTTGTGAAGAAGGCCCAAGAATCTGTTTAATGCAGAGGTGTACTGTGCCTTTAAAAGACAGTCATTGCATTTGGTCTGGTTATCTTCCAGAAACAAGCATCGTGCACTTTGCAGCTAACTAGAGTAATGGAATGTATTGAAATAATACAGATATATTTTTGGATTGATCTTTCTTTTCCCAGCGTGGTAACCAGTATTTGATGTACCGTCGCCTCTTCATGGATATTGAACGAGAGCAGGTGAAAGAACATCAGCGTCAGCGAGAGCATGAGAAGAGGATAGCTAAGTGAGTTAGTTTAGTTTAACATTTAGAAAACTAGGAACAGGAGTAGGCCATTTGGCAGTTAAGGTGGTGCTGAAACTTGCAGCTTAAACACTGCCTGCATTTAGTAAACTAAATCCAGTGCTGGTCTTGTTGTAATTGTCAGTAGAATTTTCCATAGAGAATTTGACTCCTAAAAATACTTAATAAAGTAAATCGCAGTTTCATACAACCATTTGGACTATCAAGTGTGCACCCACTCTTTTGAAAACCAGTCCAATTAGTTCCACTCCCTGCAATTTGTTTCTCCTTCAAGAATTCATCCAGTTTCCTTGTGACAGATACTGTTAAATCTGCATCCACTACCCTATCAGGCTTTTTGTTGCATAAAAGAAATTCTCATCTCGCCTCTAGTTGTAGAGTCAGAGTCATACAGCCTTTCTCTTCAACTCGATCTTCTGACCGGGTTTCCCAAACTAAACCAGTCCCATTTGCCAACATTTGGCCCATGTCCCTCTAAACTCTTTCTGGTCATGTACCTGTCCAAATGTCTTTTAAATGTTGTAACTGTACCTGCATCTACCACTTCCACTGACAATTCATTCAATAAACGAACTACCCACTGTGTGAAAAAGTTGCGTCTCAAGTCCTTTTTAAATCTTTCCCCTCACCTTAAAACTAGTTCTGAACTCCCCTACCCTAGGGAAAAGACCTTGGCTTATCAACTTATCTCTACCCCTCAACTTTCCCTAGCACTTTTTCTCTAGTGATAGTTCATGTGTGTTTATTTCCTTTCCTCCTCTTGCCATTTGATTATTGGTATTTTTAAATGTGATTAGTGCCTTCTACTGTAAAGGCTGATGTAAAGTATATATTTCCTTGTTCACCATTTTTATTTCCCCAGTCTCTGGCCAGCAGCGAGACCATGGTGTGTAGGGCTGATCTTAACCCTTTTTGTGCTGGTGGTAAGACTTCCTGTCCAGGTTGATGGATGCGGCCATCAGGGGAGGCAGCTGAGGAGGCTAATGGAAAGGTGTAAAAAGGCCAAGCCTGTGCCCCCTTGGTATCAGCTTTATGGCCTTTTTTCCTTTTAGAAATCACCTAGAATCCACAACCTCTGATTTCTTGTTTGTTCAGTCATTTGAAAACTATTTCTGAACATGCGCATTTCCCACTTCTGCAAGATTCCATTAATGCTTGTTCTTTGTGTATAGCATGTAGTTTTTTTTTAAATCATGGGCTCTTTTATCTACTTACTTATCCATAGGTAATGTACTGCAAACAACTGATTGAAATATGTGGAATTAGCTATAAGAGTACTACCCACGTCCTTCAGAGAACAGCAACTCACTTTGGATAACAAGGCAAAAATCTGGTGGATGCTGCATGTGTAATATTACCAAACTGGACATAAATGTGTAGGGCTTCATTATTCTCGAATTCAGACTGGTTGGAAACAAATTATAGTAGGTTTCCTGCCTTTCGAATTGCTTCCTGAACTTGCATGTTATCTTGTTTTATTCCTTGTACCAATGTCAATATATGGGTAACACCGTCTTTGTGATGAGCAGCGGTCAAACCATTGCTTGGCAGTGACATAACTGCAACACTGGTTCTGCACATGCATACTAATGTGTCACTTGGTGATGACACAGCCAATACACAGCCAGACAGTTCATCTTTACCAAAATGCTTCACGATTGTAAGTCTTTGTACCAGCTTTCCTTTTAGCCATCCCTTCTAAGGAAAACAATCCCTTTGAAGCAAGTTGCGAATATCTTATCAAAAGACTTGCATTTGTAAATTATTTATTGTGTTGATGATGCCTAACCAAGCTGTTAACTCAGCAATTGACTTTGGAAAACAAAAAAAAATGAATGCTAAGATGCAGTTCTATGCTTGTAAATAACATGAGTTTCATTTGGCTTGGCTTATTTATATTCATACTCACACCAATCTTCAGCCTTTGTCTCAAGTCGGTATTTATGTTTCTTTAAAAATCTTTGTTCAGAATTAAGGAAGAGAAGGAGAAGCTGAGGGAAGCAGAAGAGAAAAGAATGCTTAAGCTGACTCAGCAGAGAGAGCTAGTGGCTGAAAGTGGAAAGATTGCTCAGTTGGACGAAGAGGAGAAACAAAAGAGAACAGATCAAGTCAAAGCCCAACGCAACAGAGAGAGCACCAGGTATACCAAGAATTATTTCAGGAGAATGTTTTTTTTTTATAGTTGCTGCAAGAAGAAGTAAATCCTGTGGTCAATTTTTTCTTTGTTTCTCAGCTTTTTATTAGTACAAGATATGTGCTTAGTGTTTGAAATATATATTTCTGGCATCTTGCCAGAGAATGGATTTAGGAGACTTTCTTTGACAAAAGGAAATTCCTATTGCAACTGAAAGATTAATCAGTTTGTCCAGAAGTTTGCCACTGATTTCTCTTTAGCTTTAGTAATGGTAATCTGTTCGCTTTTATGTGAGGAAGTACATGTCAATTTGAGTGCCATGACCAGTGAGCTGTTAAGATTGGCCATAAAGAAATGGTTAGTGTAAACAATACTCCTAATTATAATTTGCAGTGAATATTTCAGATAACATTAATTGTAAAGTTTGACAGAAGAAAAACATCTGTGACTATATCACGAAGAGACATGGCAGTCAGTTAAATACAATGTAGGACCAAATTACGCAGATGCTGGAATCTGAACTGAAAACAAGAAGTGCTGGAGATCACAGCAGGTCAGGCAGCATCCCTGGAGAGAAAGCAAGCTAACATTTTAGAAGTGGGAAATTCATATCTTAGTAATTTCAGGTTTCACTTGGTAGAAAAGCAAGATCTAAATTATTGAGGGGGCAAATGAAGGGAATTGTATCATTTACGGAGGAATAAAATGTTAGTTATTCAAAGTGGCAAGAGTGAACTTCATTAACATTTGTCTGATATGTGAAGCTGTTTCTGCAATAAACAAGTGGATTGTCTCAAAGAAAGGGGAAGAAAAAATGCTATAAACAGATTTGGATTCAAAGGCACGTAGTTAGGAAGTAGAACATTTACAAATCCTTCAACAAAATGTTTGATAAAAAAAAATCTAAGTATTTATTTAATTTCAGTATAATTAATAAGTACTTTGGATCTGGCATTCAATATTGCGAACCTTATTGATTTAAGGAATCCATTATTAAGAAGAAAATAAATATTTGACCTTCCTCTAATACTGTGTTCAATAGATTCTTGAAAGTTGGGACAAACGGACTTTGCCGCAAAGTAGAAATTGCACTAACTGATTTTGTGTATCAGCTGGTGAGAATTGGCTTCACATTTTAGTGATTTATCACAAATTTACAACTGTGGCAAAAATATTCCACTATGCACACTTTAATTATATTGTGATGTTTTATGCTATTACTTCCAATTTACTGCAGTTTTTAAGAATGTGAAATATGTTTTAGAGCGTAATGCAATTGGGTGGAGGGAAGCCTGTGTGTTTTAAGTTTGGTTGTTGTGCTGGAGAGAGGCTTTATCAAATGGGAGCCGATGGTTAAAATTCTCTTTGAGAAATGAACCCAGCATTTTCTTTTCAGTGCTTTTCAATTTATATAGCTGAAATAAAAATGAAAAAGATGAACTCAATATCAAGCCTGTCAATATTTGAAAATCAAAAGAATTGGGACTGAAACATCACAACATTCACCAAACATTTACTAAGTGTTTGGTTATTTGGAATGCTGATGGACCTGGAGTACAGTACTTTCTGTGTTATACTCAGCTGTCTTTTATTTATGAACAATAAGAGGCTGAGCAACTATCTAATGATCAACTTTAGTTCTAATGACTGCCAAGCATAATTAACTCTGCTCGCTGGATCTGAAGTAATGAGAGATGGTGGCAGATGAGAACAATTTAATATTTAGGTGAATTTTAGGCACATTGGAGTTGTGTATCTTTAGGATCACTAATACAGGTTACACTTTCTTTTGAGTGAATCAGCTGTCTTCAACTCAAATTCTATTCTGTTATATTTAACTTATTGCAGATTTATAGAAGCCTTAAGAGCACAGATGATGGAGAAGATTAAATTGCAGAACACAGATCTACCTCCGCTCTGTTGCTGCGGAACTGATTTCTGGGACTCTCATCCAGACAAATGTGCAAACAACTGTGTCTTCTATAAAAACCCGAAAGGTACAAAAACTGCATTATGATGCCGATTAGAACAAAATTTGTTTCCCTTAAATACCTCCCCTGAGAACACGAGGTCTTTGTTATCTGCCTGAAGGCTGTGGGACAGACAAATGCTAAACTCTGCATAACAATGTGTACAAAATGTTGGAATTTCTGGATTAAACAGATCACTAAATATTTCAGATGAATTCCCCATGCCCCTTCCATTTCAAGAATTGAAAAGTTAGGTTGGGATCTGCCTTTTCAAGGTTTCAGATTCCTGAATTGCATCTTTGTGAGGGGACAGGTGTGGAAATGGAGTTATGGCCACAAACAAGTTGGCTATGATATTATTGCATGACATAGCAGAGTCTTAACTGATAAATGGCCTACCTCATCCTGAAAATTAATTAATTCTTCTGAGGTTGTAGACTTGCTCACTGAGCTAGTGTGTTTGGCTGCAGATGTTTCGTCACCCTGCTAGGTAACATCATCAGTGCGCCTCCGGTGAAGCGTTGGTGTTCTGTCCCGCTTGTTATTTATATGCCTCGGTTTGCTGGGGTGGGAGGCATTACTTCCGGTTCTGTTTTTCAGTGGTTTGTATATCGGGTCCGGTTCAATGTGTTTGTTGATGGAGTTCCGGTTGGAATGCCAGGCCTCCACGAATTCTCTAGCGTGTCTCTGTTTGGCTGGTGTTATTATGGATGTGTTGTCCCCGTCGAATCCGTGTCCTTCTTTGTCCCTGTGTATTGAGACCAGTGAGATATGACCAATTCTCACTGGTCTCAACACATACGAACAAAGAAGGACACGGATTTGACTGGGACAACACATCCATAATAACACCAGCCAAACAAAGACACGCCAGAGAATTCCTAGAGGCCTGGCATTCCAACCGGAACTCCATCAACAAACACATTGAACCGGACCCGATATACAAACCACTGAAAAACAGAACCGGAAGTAATTCCTCCCGCCCCAGCAAACCGAGGCATATAAATAACAAGCGGGACAGAACACCAACGCTTCACCGGAGGCGCACTGATGATGTTACCTAGCAGGGTGACGAAACATCTGCAGCCAAACCCACCACCTCAGCGAGCAAGTCTACAACCTCATCCACAACCCAAGCTACAAATCTTCTCAAAAACTTTAATTATTCTCTTTCACAAAATACCTTGTGTGTCTGAAAGCCTAGTTTTTCATCAGATTTTTTGAGATACTACTTTTACTGTGATGACAGACATTGCACCCTAAATTAAGTTTATAAATTTGAAACTTGCTCAAAGTATACCATCATGTAACGTTTCAAAATATCTATCATGAGTGCTAGAAAAAACTGCTAGTTATGAGAGACACTGGCTATCAAGGTGATTTCTGTCCTCTGAGGACATATAACAAAGTTCACCATTGCTCAGGCTTTATGGAGCAACAATGTCTTACTGATTATTGGGTATGTATTCTGTGCAGTTTCAGGTATCTGAAGCTAACAAGTACTTCAGAACAAATATCTATAATCAAACCAACCTAAAAGACAGATTTCACTGTATATTTATCCCATGTTTTGTCTCTCTCCATTCCCCCTCTCCCCCACCCACAGTGTATGCCAAAGCACTACAGTCTGTATTATCTTCATGTGATGCTTGGGATGGACACTGTAGAACTACCTCAATGAAGAAGATTGCTTCAGTGCATTTGTGTTCAGCCTGGAAGTAATCCATCTGCAGTGGGAAGCTAAAGTCACTCGAGGCGATTAACATTCTCAAAAATGAGTCAATGTTGAGATGTGTTCAGAAAATGTATGAGTGTCATTTTTTAATAACAAGTGGTTGATAAATTATTTTGCTGCTTTCATTTAATTGTATGAGAAATTGATTTTTAAAAATATTTAATCATTTCTCTGAGAATTCCAGTTGAAGACGTATGGTTTGGTTAAATTGAAAATATATCTAAAGGCCATTTTTAAAGAAAAAGAATGGTGATTTCTAAATTGGCTAGTTCTAGGAAAGGACAGTTTAACTTCCAAATGCAGGAATCATTATTTAACAACTTATAATTGCCTACCTCTTCAAATTCACTTCTTTTTTTTGCTTTTATTTTCCGTTCTCACTTGGTTCTGTAAATCTAGTCCCTTGTGGGGAGATGTCTGAATTTGAGAATGTATTGACCTGCTAAAACCTTATAATCCCAGATAAATGTTATAATTTTACAGAATGTCCTCAACTAAACGTCACTCTACTTATTTGCCAGGAGAGAACATGATTGAGGGAGAGGTGAGGTGGTGTAATTCAGCCTGTTAAGTACACAGTAATTGTCATCAACTGCAATTTCCCCTATCCAGGCTAATAAAGACTTCTAAGTTTACAACTGCACTAGAAAATTATAAAAGGTCATTGGTTCCTTGTCAGTAACAGTTAGATATCAAGTACCCATTTAATGGTGTGAGGTCTTTAAATTTCATTTAAACAAATCAAACATAACAAAGGGCAAATTAAACTGGCCACTGCTATTTTTTTGTGTGTGATGCTATGTTTGTTTCATTTGCATTTGTTTTATTTATGTTGATTTTTTTTTGTAAAGGCCAGGTCAACCAGTTCTGTTATTCAGATACCCTTTTCCTGGAGTTTATTGGTCTGATCAATAAACAAGCAGGTTAATTTCAGCAATGCATAAATTTATATTTAGATTTGTGTTGCTGGTGTCATTCTGTGAACAATAACTTGTCTAAGAGGTGAACTTGTGGTTTACATATGGATATAACTTATTGGCCAATAAAATCATTTTTAGAATGCCTTGCCTGTTTAAAGAACATTCGCAATAATGTCAGAGATCACTGGAGTTAAGTTTATGCATTGTCAAAAGACTGCTGCATCGCTCATGTATTTCATATACACTTCCTGTGTTTTAAAGTCTTCAACTTACGTAGAGGCATTTGTAACTGTTTTAAAAAGGCAAAATTGAAGATGAATACTTAAAATTTCACATTTTTCTACTTTATACACATTTGCCACATCTTTGCCCTCAATTAACCTGTCAATTTCCTTTCTGCAACCTGAAAATCACTCTCTTCTATTTCTAATTAACCAGCCAATCTTCTATCCATGCCAGTATGCTGCCCCACACCAGCTTTTATTTTCCACAAAAACCTTATGTGGCACCTTATCAATTGCTTTCTGGAAACCCAAGTACGTACATGCACTGGTTTCCCCTTCTGCACAATGATTTCAGTTTCACAAAAACATGTTAACTCTGCCTTATGATCTTGATCTTGAACATATCCAAGGGCCCTGCTATAACTTTTTTAAAAAATAGCTTCTAACCTTTTCCTTCATAGATATTCAGCTAATTGGGTTGTAGTTTCTTGCGTTTGGTCTGCCTCCCATTTTGAAAAAAATGTTACACTCAATCACCCAAAGAAGGAACGAGGTTCTGAAAGCTTCTGTCTTCAAATAAACCTGTTGGACTATAACTGGGTGTTGTGTGATTTCTGACCTTGTCCAGCCCAGTTCAACACTGGCACCTCCACATCAATCTCTTCCAATTAATGGATCCATCCCTGAATCAAGAGTTTTGAAAAATTAAAATCAATGCATCAACTATCTCACCAACCACTTCTCTTAGGACCATAGGATGATTAGTGTGTTGCGCCTGTAAACACCATAGGATGATGTCTATCAGGACCCAGGCAAACCATAGCTCCAATAATTTCCTCAGAACCAAATCTCTAAATTTCCTGAGTTCATCTCTCCCATCCAGTTATCATTGCTTCTGGGTGTTAATTGTATCCTGTATTGTGCAGATTGATGGAAAATACCTGGTCAATTCATTTGGTGTTAAGAACGTAAGAACTAGGAGCAGGAATAGGCCATCTGGCCCCTCGAGCCTGCCCCGCCATTTAATAAGATCATGGCTGATCTTTTTGAGACTCAGCTCCACTTATCCGCCCACTCACCATAACCCTTAATTCCTTTACTGTTCAAAAATTTATCTAGCCTTGCCTTAAAAACATTCAGCGAGGTAGCTTCAACCGCTTCACTGGGCAGGGAATTCCACAGATTCACAACCCTTTGGGTGAAGAAGTTCCTCCTGACCTCAGTCCTACATCTGCTTCCCTTTATTTTGAGGCAATGCCCTCTAGTCCTAGTTTCACCTGCTAGCGGAAACAACCTCCCTGCCTCCACCTTATCTATTCCCTTCGTAATCTTATATGTTTCTATAAGATCTCCCCTCATTCTTCTGAATTCCAATGAGTATAATCCCAGCCTACTCAGTCTCTCCTCATAATCCAACCCTCTCAACTCTGGAATCAACCGAGTGAATCTCCTCTGCACCCCCTCCAGTGCTAGTATATCTCTTCTCAAGTAAGGAGACCAAAACTGCACACAGTACTCCAGGTGTGGCCTCACCAGTACCCTATACAGCTGCAGCATAGCCTCCCTGTTTTTAAACTCCGTCCCTCTAACAATGGCAGACAAAATTCCATTTGCCTTTTAAATTACCTGCTGCACCTGCAATCCCACCTTCAGCGATTCATGCACAAGGACACCCAAGTCCCTCTGCACAGCAGCGTGCTGCAATTTTTTACCATTTAAAACATAGTCCATTTTCCTGTTATTCCTACCAAAATGGATGACCTCACACTTATCAACATTGTACTCCATCTGCCAGACCTTTGCCCACTCACTTAGACTATCTATATCCCTCTGCAGACTTTCAGTGTCTTCTGCACACTTTGCTCTACCACTCACCTTAGTGTCATCTGCAAATTTTGACATACCACACTTAGTCCCCAACTCCAAATCATCTATGTAAATTGTAAACAATTGCGGTCCCAACACTGATCCCTGAGGCACACCACTAGCCACTGACCGCCAACCAGAAAAACACCCATTTACCCCTACTCTTTGCTTTCTACTGGTCAACCAATCCTCTATCCATGCCAATACATTACCTGTAATACCATGCAACTTTATCTCATGTAGCAGCCTTTGATGTGGCACCTTGTCAAATGTCTTCCGGAAATCCAGATACACCACATCCACAGGTTCCCCACTGTCCACCATGCAAAGTAATGTCCTCAAAGAATTCTAAATTAGTTAAACATGACCTACCCTTCATGAACCCCTGCTGGGTGCTCCCAATGGGACAATTTATATCCAGATGTCTTGCTATTTCTTCCTTAATGATAGATTTAAGCATTTTTCCCACTACCGAAGTTAAGCTAACTGGCCTATAGTTACCTGCTTTTTGTCTACTTCCTTTTTTAAACAGTGGCGTCACATCGGCTGTTTTCCAATCTGCGGAACCATCCCAGAGTCCAGTGAATTTTGGTAAAGGTGTTCCTTCTTTTAGTCTTCAGTCTGACTTTCTATCAGTTCATTAACTCTTGTCTTTAGATATTTATAGAAATTCTTGTTGTGATAATATTTCTGAATATCTTTTTGTTTAATTTTTTGGTCATTTAAAAAAAAAACATTCCATCTAGCTGTATGATCTGCTACCCCTTGCACAATTATATGATTTTTCTTGGAAGTTTGATTCAGTCTTTAATGTTCCTAGTTAACCATTGATGATGGGTCCATCTCTTGTATTCTTTTTATTTGAATATATCTATTCTATATATTAGAAATCATAGAATCCCTACAGTGTGGAAACAGGCACTCCGACCCTCAGAGCATCCCACCCATCTCCATCCCTATAACCCACCTAATCTACACATCCTTGAACACTATAAGCAATTTAGCATGACCAATCCACCTACCCTGCACATTTTTGGACTGTGGAAGGAAACCCATGCAGACATGGGGAAAATGTGCAAACTTTCTGAAATATCACTATAAATGTCTACCTCTGCATCTCTAGTAACCTATCCTTTATCCTAATTTAGCAATTCACTTTAACCAGCTCTGTGTCCATGCGTTAGTAATTACCTTTATTTAAATTTTAATAAATAATCTCACACCCACTTAGTTCTCCCTGAAACTGAACATAAAATTCATTCATATTACGGTAGCTACTTACACCAAGGTGTGCCTTCACTATGAGATCATTCATTAATCCTGTCTCATTGCACAATATCAGTTTAGTATAGCTTGTTGTCTGGTCGGCTCCAGAACGTGCTGTCCTAAGAAACTGTCCTGAAAACGTTGTGAACTCTTCATCCAGGCTACCTTTGCCCAAATGAATTTTCGTCAATATGCAGATTAAAATCTCCCTTCATTGTTGCCGAGCCTTTTTGAGAAGTTCTCATTATGGGGCATTAAGGAAGAAATAGTATGGTTAGTATGGTTACTGTTGGGTGACTTCTTGCCTTTATCATTTCTTCCCAAATTCCATTTCATCAGTTTCAAATAGCACATGTGTTCAAATACACAGTCTTTCGTTTCATCCTTCTACTTAAATTCTAATCTTATCTGTTGGTTGATTCTTAAATTATGATGGAAAGTATGAATCTATCATTTCCTTCTCATTGGCCTTGACTTTACTCTGATTTACCACATCTTCCCAAATTTGATCCCTTACCCCCATTTTTCAGTTTGAACTCCTCTCTACTTCCCTCATTATGCAATCAGCAAGCAGACTGGTCCATAAGACACAGGATCAGAAGTAGGCAATTCGGCCTATTGAATCTACTCTGCTATTCAGTGAGATTGTGGCTGATCTGAGATCATTTCTCCACATTATAGTCCATCTCCCAAGTTTTTGTTCACCCACCAAACCTGTCTATAATCCTATGCAGACTATTTGTATCATCTTCATCACTTGATTTCTCACCTACATTTATGTTATTCACAAATTTGACATTTGCTTTCTTCTTCCAAGTCATTACGACAATGTAAACAATTATGGACCCAGCATTGATCCCTGTGGCATACTACTAGTTGCCAGCCTGAAAATCTTTCTGTCTTCTGTTGGTTAGCCAATCCTCTGTCTTTGCTAATAAACTGTCTCTAACACCACAGGCTCTTATTAAGTAGCCTAAAGTGTAGCACTTTACACACCATCTGAAAATCCAAATATATTACATCCACTGCTTTCCCTTTATCTATTCTGCTTGTTACCTCCTCAAAGAATTCTAGTAAATTTGTCAAGCGTGATTTTGGCTTCATGAAGCCGTGGTGATTCTGCTTGATCATATTATGTCTAACTAAATGCACTGCTATTACATCCTTTACAATGGAGTCTAACATTTTCCCAACAACAGATTTCCCAACAACTATAGATCAGTTAACACTTTTTTTGTCTACTTCCCTTTTTAAATAAATATGTTACATTGGCAATTTTCCAATCCTCTGGGACATTTCCAGAATTTAAAGATGCCTAAAAGATTACTAACAGTGCACCTATAGCTACTTCCTTTAATATCCAAGGAAATTTGTCTGTCTTTAGCCCCATTAGTTTCCCAAGCAATTTTAACTTTTGCCACTTAAGAATATGTAATTTTGGGATGCTAATAGTATCTTCTCTTGTAAAGATTGATGCAAAGATTAACTTAACTCCTGTTCTACTTCTGAGTTCCCCATTGTTATTTCCCTAGCCTTATTCTCTAAGCGGCTTATGTTCATTTTGATTTCTCTCTTTTTATATATTTAAAGAAGCTCTTGCTATCTGTCTTGATATTACTTGCAAGTTTAGCAAGTTTATTTTCTCCCCTTTTTTTTGATTGTCTTCTTTTGATTCAAAACTTTCACAGTCCTTGGGATTACCACTAATCTTACCACATTAAATGTTTTTTTTTCAATCTTACTTCCCTGGTTAACCAGGGCTGGCTTAATCCCTTCGTCGAATCATTCTTCCTCTGGAATATGTCTTTGTTGTGAGCCACAATCTTGCTTAACCTGTCTATATATATCCCTGTGTAGACTGTTTGTCATCTTTAACATTTGCCTTCCCACCTACTTTATGTCATCCACCAAATTGACAGTACATTCACTTCCCTCCCCCAAATCATGGATATATATTGTAACTAATATTGGCCCCAGCACTCAGAAACATATAGAAACATAGAAGATAGGAGCAGGAGTAGGCTATTTGACCCCTTGAGCCTGCTCTGCCAATCAATATGATTACAGCTGATCGTTGAGCTCATTACCTTAATCCTACCACTTCCCCATATCCCTTGATCATTTTAGCCACAAGAGCTGTACCTACCTCCTTGAAAACACAATTTTTTGGCCTCAACCACTTTCTCTGGTACTGAATTCTACAGGCCCACTACTCTCTGACTGAAGAAATTTCCCCTCATCGCAGTTGTAAAACATTTGCCCCTTTAAAATATGACCTCTGATCATCGAGAATATCCATCCATATCTAACCTGTGCAGTGATGTTATAATTTTATGGTTTTCCAATGAGATCCCCTTCATTTTTCTAAACACTAGTGAATAAAATCCTAACCATCTCAATCTCTAGTCATACATCTCTAGTCCTCACATGCCAGCAATCAATTTGGTAAACTTTTGCTACACTT